TCCCAACACTTAGAATCCTGTAGTAGTGGAGGTTCTCAAGATTCATATAAACTAAACGAGTAGAGGATATGAAATCCTGTACTGCTGGTTTCCTGGGCATGCGGGAATAAAGAGAAATGAGCTGGCACATATTGCAGCGAAATCTGTTGTTGAACTGTCTAGTCACCTCATCCCTTTTAGAGACATCTGTTGTGTCATCAAAGAGAAGATCCGAAAAAAATGGCAGCAACTTTGGGACTTTCAGCTTCACAACAAGTTGAGAAATGTTAAGCCTAGAATTGAACATTTTATTTGATTTTACTGGGATTTTACTAGAAATCGTAAGGAGAAAGTTCTTTTGACTCGCCTCAGAATTGGTCACACTAGAGTGACACATAACTACCTTTTGAAAGCTGAGAATGAGCCTGTTTGTTTGAATTGTAATGTTTGTCTATTAGTCAGTCATATTATAATTGAGTGTCCATGTTTTAATAGTCTTCATCAGAAATATTTTAATAGCTGTGACTTATGGAAGACGTTTTAATTGGAAGAGAGGTCAATAGTAATTTCTTTTATTATCTAAAAGAGACTGGCTTTTATTACCTAATGTAATTTGTTTTGAAAGACTGTGTATTGTATTTTAATGTGTGCTTTTACCACTTGTGTGCTTTTACCTTATTTTTATATAACTTCATCCTCTGGATTTGGTATATTTGTCTACCTTTTTTTATTTTCTAATAAATTATTTTGATTTCATCAATTTAGATCATCTTACCTCATATTTGGTGCATTATGACCATCTCTGGTTTTGCGCCAATAATCTCTCTCACTCACTCACTCATTCATGCTACTCAGTTTTATTGAATATATTGTAAAAAATAACTAGTAAAAAGGATTAACCCCAGAGGAAATAGCAAATTTTTCACGTGAGCTATCAGATAATGGATCTGAAGGTGGTAAACCATCAGACATAGAAGACAAGGACTGTAAAGTAAAAATGACTTACATCAGATTCTGATGGAAGTAAAAACAAGAAAATTACAAAACATATGTCAGGTAATATGGAAGCATTCATTGCTCCTGATGGCAAAGAAGGAAAAATGTATAAAAATTTTTAAAAATTCTGGAAAGTTTCCAAAAAAGTGTTCTACAGCAAGATAGGGAATCAACAAATCATGCCAAAAGAAATGTCTGTGATGTCTGTTGAGCGCTTAGTTTTTATTTATAGATAGCACATATTTGAAAAATATAAAGAAATGTACCGAAGTAGAGGCAAGGAGCGTCCTTGAAAATGACACTTGGTCTCTTTCTATGGATGTTTCCCCCCCCTTCTTTTTTTCTCCTTTATTGGAATATTACAAGCTTGTGGAGTGAAAGGAATAGAATTTCATTCATTGTGGTCTAAAACCTGTGGCTTGAATTTTTGCCCAGAATTTATAGAAAAAAACAAGGCTTTGTCAAATTCTGTGATTTTTTACAATTTGACTCGAAATCTACACGTTTGTAAGCAGATAAATTTGAATGATATCTGAAATTTTGAATCGCTGCATTGATAATTGCATTTCTTGCTTCAGACCGAGAGAAAATATAACTATAGATCAACAACTGTTCCCAAGCAAAACACAATGTCCTTTTACTCGGTATATACCATCAAAACCCAAAAGTTTTGGCTTGCTGTTGATGTAAGAACAAAATACCTCCTCAATGCTTTTCCTTAGCTGGGAAAAAAAAGGAAAAAAGGCCTTATAGTCAAAGATTATCTGAATACTTCATTATGAGGCTGATGAAATCTTTTCTAAACAAAGATTTAAATGCCACAGTTTATAATTTTTTACGTCACTTTATTTAGCTGAAGAACTTCAAAAGAAGGAAACAAGTTTGGTAGGAACTATCAGTAGGGCAAGAAGAGAAATCCTGAAGTCAATGAAAGATTCCCAAGAAGCACTGTATGAATCTAAAAATTCTAAAACATGACAAAACAAGTGCTACTAACACAGTAAATCAAAGAAAGAGAAAGAAAAATGTAATGATTTAAAGTACTCTTCATCCATCTGTCAATATAAGTAACAATGGAAAGAAAACCCCATAAACAATTAGTGTTTATAATGCAACCAAATGTGGTGTCAATGTAATTGATCAGATGGAAATACACTTTAAAGAGCACCTTCTAGAAGATGACTTATTCATACTTTTTGCATAATGTTATTTTTAGCTGCAATAAATGCCTGGATTATTTTTAAAAAGATTACTAAAAGACCAATTACAAGACAGACGTTCATGCTGATGTTAGGTTTGCTGATACGCATCAAAATTGCATATGCTTTACTAATAAACCAAAAAAAAAAAAAAAAATGCGAGTAGAGCAGATACATCAGAGAGATCAACCCCAAAGAGGAGGAAATGTGAAATAAAACTTGCAATGGTAATGTGACTACTAATATTTGTATTTCATGCAAGGAAATGGTGTGTGGAAAATGTCATGCCAAGCTAGATGAGACGTGCAAAAACTGCATTCCTGAATTTCAGATTGACTTGGCAGGGGGATGAAGATTGTGTATGTTCTAGTGTTAAAAAACATATGCACTGGATAGCATTAGTTTGAAGATCTGATGGAATATTTTCAAGCCATTTGATCCAAAACACCTACAGTATTTCCTCATATATTCCACCTTTTTTTTTTTTTTTTAACTAATGTCTGAAGAATATGATTGCAGTAAAAGCAAATAAAAAGTAATCAAAAATAACCTACTGGTAACTGTCACAATAATATTCCTTTAAAAGAAGTATTTACCTTGTAAAACCCTATGGGCACCTCACATGAATGAGTCTTGACATCATTTCCCAAGAGGAACTTCAAAGGAATGAAGGAGAAGGGGTGAACAAAAGACCCAGATTTCAAAAGATCATCTACATGATCAGTAGATAAGGCTACAGTGAAGCTGGAATGAAATAATAGAAGTAAGATAAAAAGAATGTTTGGAAAGTTTTTTAAGTGGGAGAAAACCTGCCACATGTGGGTAGCTTAACGAAGAATCTGCACAAAATTTCATTTCAAATTATAAACTCAAGGGGAAAAAAAATGAATGATGCTAATACAAATACTAATATAAAAATGTAAATACAAGTTGAATACACTGAATAAATGTAAAAAAAAAAATAAAAGGATTACAATTTACAATATGCTAGCCTTCAGGGGAAGGGGAAAGTTATGTGAATTTTTAAAATTTTCACAACCTATCGCTAAAAAGCTGGGGGAAACATATGCAAGGAAATACAGCATTCTATATTCGGTTGCACTGTGAAAACTTAACAACACTGTCCCCCCCCCCCATAATTTGATGCAGCTTCAGAATTATTTGAATTGAATTTGCGAGAAGGATATTTTTTTCTCCTGATATGATGAGAAATATTATATTATGAATAGTGAACCAGTAAATTGTTTGCTCCCCAATGGTTTCTTCAACAGGTCTGCTTTTAACCTTTTCCCTAAAAAAGAGATCCACTTACCAAGTATTTTGTGTTTACATCAGCTAAAAGCTAAAATTTTATGCTGAATTTATGGGGTTTTTATGGCATATATGGAATAAAGCTGCATCTTGTCTTTGCAGGAAACAGTTGCTTGTAAACTGTAATATTTTCACCTGGTTTGGAATGTTATAAGCAATTTTCAAATATATTCCATACCTCTGAAGCAAGACCAAATAGATCAGTTTGAAATCTTTGCAATCTAGTTGGCATCAAATCATTATGCAGGTACTTCTTATTTCTAAGCATCTGTCCTGTGCACTGTTTCACTAAAGAATCTTGAGTTCGGAGAATTGATTGGATCATAAACTCAAAACAGAAAGTCCTTTAGCAGCCAAAACACTTTGGTTACATAATAAAGCAGTAAAAGCTTATCAACTGATAATTTCTTATTTAGATTTCTTGACTTTTAATGCGCTTTAGCATCTGTGCATTGCTGTGAATGACACAATATTTTTTCTATGATAAAATGTCTACATGCACTGCTATGGTTCCCATCAATTACTTTTAGAAAAAGTAGTTGACCCACTTGCTTCCAGCAAACTGTTATGAAGAAGAAGTCTTGCAAGTGAATTTGTTGAAACAATTTTCTTTATGTCACTTTCCTTTTAAAAAAATTTTTGAGCCATTATTTGATGAACTGGATTCACCTATTGTACTTGGAATAATCCAATCTTGACTGCGTGAAGTAGAATACATTTCTGTATTCTATTCTTCATAATTTATTTCTGAACCAGAATTGCCATCAGGTAATTCTTGTAAAATTTTTACTGCTTCTTTTTGTGGTAGATATTTTCTTTCAATGGTTTTACATGACATGACTTATACAGAAAAAAAATTCCAGATTAAAAAAAGTGGTCAGAATCCTTTTACAAGTGAAATGAAAAGTACTATGTGACCTGCACAGAACAAGACAAAGAATTTACTAAAACATTCAGACAGACAAGAAACATGAAATTCATTTGAGACGTTACAACTTTAGGAGAGAGGACATTCTCTTCCACTCCAAACAAATCTCAAATAATACATGGCATGAAAATAAAAAGAATATGAGCAATTTAATTATCATTTTGCTGTCAAAATATTCGTTTTCATAATTCTAGTATTAAAGCAGTTTATATTAAAGTGTTTTAAGTTAGCTGCATGAATAGCTTCCTTTTTATTTTGGGGAAAACATTAGAGATTTTTATACTTCTTTCTCCAAAATGTATTTCATATTTTCATATCTATCTTTTCTCTTAAACTTTTTACACTAATTTAAAAAAAAAGCTTTCCTTTGAATATAAGCTCATTTTACTTTTTGTATTCGTAAGTGTGGGAGAATTAAAAAATTCATTTGTATTCTTTTGCACTAAAAGAAGGCACATAATAATTAAAGTCTATTCTCTTTATTTTCTATTTATATTCTTAAAATTGTATGATCTTTTTACCATAATTCTATTCATATATATATGTATTAGAAAATCTATTTAATTTCTTTGTAATGCTTTTTTAAGGGTTTATGGAAATCAGTTTGCTGTAAGTTGCCGTGATAACACTTTTACCATATGGAACATGCATCTAGAATACAAGCCATATTTCCATTTGGATGTTTCTCTAGTGCGTAGTATAACTGGTCCCAGAGATATCTTTTTTAATTTTGGATTTTGGCGAAATGAGGTATATAATTTTGTCTATTTCGAATGGCTCAAATTACAAGGTGTGTCTACAAAGTAACTGGACAATTTCATATAAATTAGCAAAAGGTTACTTATCTATAATATAAATTGTTATAAATTTATCTCCTTCAAAATAATTGCTGGCAGTCTATACAAATTTTCAAGCATTTATTTAGTTCATCAGAGTACTGTTTATAGGCATTGGAACTAACTGTTTTCAAAATATGTATAACATTTGATTTAGTATTTGTGACATTTTTAAATCTCTGTGCATTCATGGCCATTTTAAGCTTTCAAAAAAGAAAAAAAAAATAGCTGATGATAAGTTAGGAAAATATAGTGAGTAATTTATCATTGCAGTTTCATTCTGAGCAAGGTTTGTTGTACAGACAATTCTGTATGGGGCCTAGCATTATTGTGTAAAAGAAAACATTGCCTTGAATCAAAATGTTCCTTATTAACTTGCCTTATCCTGTTTTTTAACTGAAAAAGGCACATCCTTCTAAAAATGCTGATTGATTTCAGAAGAAAATTTATGGAGATTATATCCTCTGTAATAAAAAAATACAAACTGCATCGACATCCTTTTTCTTTTGTTGCATGGGAGAAGATGGTCCTTTCCAATAGACACTTTGTCTTTTTTTTTTTTTTTTTCCTAGCAATCTTCTGTTTGCTGTTCTGTCAAAATCCAAGGCACAAATCAAGCACAACCTTTCTCCATTTTCCAATTTTAATTAAAATTAATGTACAACTTTCTTTGCTTATCCCAGGTATGTCTGAAAGTGCTGAGCTGTTACGCGTATAATCAGCTTTTACCAAAGAGTAAATTTTCTCCACATATTCCTCATCCTTTGAAGTTGAAGGTTGCCCTATTTTTGGATCATCTTCAATGCTTTCATGCTCATACTTAAAGCATTTTTACTACCCATACACTTTGTTCTTGATAATGATGTGTCACTATATACTGTTTGAATAATCTGTAATGTTTCCGTAGCAGATTTACCTCCTTTGTAATAAAATTTAATATTTTATAATGTATTCTATCTCGAAACAAAATTTTTTTACGTCTTCTCAGTAAGTGTAAATGACACCTACATTTTAATATGTAGATGATTAAATAACTAGTATAAACTGGCCTTAACAAGAGTTGAGATGTGACTCTTTCTAAAAATGCATCTATTCTTTCATTTTTTTATTTTTATTTTATTTTATTTTTTTATCTTGTGGTCTTTTAATTTGTATATTTACTTTATAGATGCACCTTGTATGTATAATTTTGTTTTTCAGCTACTTAAAATAATGTTTAAAGTTACAAAAAGAGATTTTCCGTGTAAGTGTAGAAAAATGGGGGAAAAAATGTGTTTTAGTCTTTTATGAAAATAAAGCATTTGGGAAATTAACAGTGGTTTCTCTCTTCACAAACATAATTCATTTAAGGCATTTGTCATCTGAAATGTTTGTAACCAAATATCCTCCTTTTCTCCACTAGGAATTAATATAAAATGGATTAATCCATTTCCCTGGACCATGCATTATTACTTATTTAAACTTTACAACAGTACCTTGTGAACTGATTTGTACCGCAAAACAAATAAAACACATTAAATTAGGGGTGGGGAAGATAAACATAATATTATGCAGATAAAATAGACAGAACCATAATTTAATTTTATCATATCTGTGTCAAGTAGGGTGTATGATATGTGTGGAAATTGCTGCGGAAGATATATGGCAAAGTTGATTATTATTTGAATGAAGAGACTGCTTATTTAAAAATTTAACTTTTGGGGGGCGGGATTTTTATTTATTTATTGTCTCTTAGTACCATTTGACTCTGCTTGAAACTTATTGACTTTTGATTCAAAATTTATCCAATACGATTTGCTGCTGGCTCATTTTAAGATGCTGCATTGTCGATGACATTGTTCATGCTGTAGCTTGGTACAGCATTATTAGGATGATATCATTATTTGAAATTCAGACCTTATCTCATTTTTCAGAAATTTTGTGGAACAAAGAACTATTATCATCTTCCTTTCTTTCTTTTAAAACATTTCCTTTACAATGACTTTTATTTGCAACTTTTGCAGTTCTTTCATTTGGATCACATTTTATGATCTTCTATAACTCCTCCACTTCCACTCTTTGTTTAAAACACAATATCATGGGTAAAAGGAAGAAGACATCTTAATGGCAAAGTTTCTGTGTGTAACATAATCTGGTCACAATTTCCTCCAGACTGAATTAATGCTCCTATAAGTCACTTGTTGCTGGACTTTGTTAGTGAGAGTTAAGTTGCAGATATTAAAATGATGTTTTTTAGAAATATCTGAGTATTAATTATTATTCTGTGTCAGAGGTTACCTCAAATGCCACAGAAAGTAATTTGTTGCTCTCTTGAAAGTTCTTAACTCGAGATACTATTTGTCATGAGTTACCTGAGATCTTTTTTTATGAAAATAATTTATTATGAGAAGCATTCATGATCTGAAGTTCCACTGTAGTTACATATCTTATTAGCAGCTATATCATTATGAAGGTTGATTACATATCTATAATATCCATAAGTCTTAATCTATTTTACTGAGTTTCAGTGAGTAAAATACAGTTCACAGTTTACTCACTAAGAAGAGAAATAGTACCCCCTTCCCCAACAAAAAAGTTGAAGATAACTGTGTTTGTATATTGGTTTTCCTACATATTTGACTGTTAAAAAATTTTTAGTTCATAAAAAAAAGAACTTGTATCAGATTGTCTTCAAAATCAATAGAGCTTTATTTAAAATTTATGCTACTATAAAGTAACTTTTTGCTTTGATTGAGAAGTGAATGACTCATTTATAATTCCATATTGGTTAAATTGTGGCCAATTTTGACTTATTGAAAACTTACAGGAACACAATACTTTTTCCACTGACAATGGACCATGATTTATCTTACACTGTGGCATTATTGCTGAAAACATGCTAAATGATTTATTTGGTTTTCTATTCAAACTTCTCGTGAAATTTGTTGCTATAACATACTCCAGCCCTTTTAAGATCTCATGACAAATGAAATTTCTACCAGCATAATTTTCATATTTTTAAAAAGTAAAAATAATTGTTTTCATATAGTAGTTAAAATGACTATTGTTACATGTTTTTATATGAAAATTTTGTTATGGATCTAGTATCAAAGCAGTGCAGCGAAAAAGAAAGTGCAGTGAGAAACATAGAGACTAAACTCTCTGCTGCCTTGAATGCTTTGGAAGTTTGGTGTGATACTAATAATATGGAGGTGAACTTAAATAAATCATACTGCACGGCTTTCTCACTTATGCACCATCTTTGGATCTTCAGCTGACATATGAGGATACCCAAATCCCCTTGTGCGATAAATTTAAATATTTGGGTGTGACAATTGACCGCAAATTAACATCGAAGCCACATGTAGAGGACTTGTCCAACCGTGCTACGAAGAGACTCAGTGTCCTTAAATGCCTTGCTGGGGCAAGGTGGGGTTGCACTAGACAAACCCTGCTCTTAAAAACTAAACTAACTTAAAAAAACTTATTATTCTTTATCCTCCTTCTTCTGACTTACTGCTGTGAACCACTTGTTGTGGCCGTGGAAAATGTACTCCAAAAAAAAATCCAAAATCAGTGCTTACGTATTGTTTCTGGAGCCGTGACGACCACCGCGATTGACGCCATGTTTATGTTAATTGGTGATAAATCCTTAAGAACTGTAATTCAAAAGAAGGCCTTAGTTCTCTGGGAAAAGATCATTAGAGTTCCTGGATGTCTTTCACTCTGGAAGGAAGTCAATCAAGATCTGACTAGAAATCTAAAGACCCAGATGGGCTTTCTACAGATAGTTTTTCAGTTAAAAAATTCACTTGGTTTATTGAATGAACCAGAATTACTTCTTCCACTACAAAATCCAATAAATTTGAAATCTTTCTGGGCTAATCTTGACCTGGGTCAAAAAATAACCAAATGTAATATGGATCCCTCTATTTTGAGAGCCCTCGCTTTCAAAGTATTAAACATTTTTTACCCTGAGTGGCTTCAGATCATTACTGATGGATCCCTCCTGTCTGATGGCCCTAATGCTGGTGCCGGAGTTTTCTCCGATATTTTCTCTTTCTACATCCCTGTGGACCGAGGTTCTGTGTTTGACGGTGAAATTGCTGCGATTCGCACAGCTCTGTACCAGCTACCATGCCACTTGGAAAAATTTACAAGAGCTGTTATAATCAGTGATTCCCAAGCTCCTCTGTTGGCTATCATTTTAGATAAAAATCCCATATCACAGGACATATTGGATTGTTGACATTATCGACAAAAACCTGGCTTCACTTGAGAAAACTATAGTCCTCCAGTGGGTTTCTGCCCACTGTGGGATTCCAGGTAATGAGAAAGCCAACTTCTTGCCAAAAAAGGGTGTTTTAATCATGCAGATTAATTCTTGTTCTTTGCCTTTCTATACTGTTAGGAAACTTATTAAAAGATCTTTCAATGTATGTGCTCAGGAAGATCTCTATCATCGTGTTTCTCATATCTTGGAAGAATGCTATCCTGAATTTGTGTAATGGACCAAGGCGTAGGGCAGTCGCTGAATTCTGCCTTGCCACTGGACATGACTGCCTACAATATCATCTTCATAGATTCAAAATTGTTCCTTCTCAGATATGCACTCTGTGCAGCTCTGAAGAGGTGATGGATGCCGCACATCTTAACCCACTGTCCTGCTCTGCACAAGACACTTTTCTCACTGAGTATTACTGGGTGGCAAGAGATAGTTAGATTAATGGACTCTGTTACAGCTTTTCGCCCCCCCCCCAATGTGTTGCTGTATTCTATATTCTTTGTTTTTATTTTTTGCTGTAACTGTTCATAATCTGCCATTGGAAATAATAATAATAAAAAATATCAAAGCAAAACAGTCTGCTAATTGGAATTTTAATTCTACTGTGATAATATGAAAAATTAGGTTGTATTTGTTGAATTATTCCACCTAGTATTAAAAATGTATTATTTTCTTTCTTGTTTTGAGAAACGCAAAAATTAGAAGCATGTATAATATCAGTATTTAAGAAAGTAAAGCCTGTTACTATGATTTTCTAAGTTGTTTATATTTAGTTCAGATTTATTAAAAGGCATATACTGGTTATTAGGGTTTTGACATAATGAATCACTTTTTTGTAAATGTTTTGCATTTTCATGAATAAGAAATGTTTTTAGGTGTACTGTGTATCACGTAAAGGAGGCTTAAATGTGTATTCTAAAGATAAAGAAGAATGGATTGAAAAGAAACATTTTATGATTTTATATTCAAATGAATGCTTGGAAAGTGTGGTGTCAGTTACTGCTGTATTCCTATTTCGAAATCAGATTATAATAATGCTAACAGGTACAATATTTTTTTTGTTTAATTTTTTTTTTAAATTTATTGTGCTACATACGCATAAATTTTATTTGAATTACCATGCACTTTTACTTTGAATTTTCACATTTTACTCTTTCCTTAAATATATCCTAAATATATATATATATATATATATATATATTTAAACAAAATTTGCAGACACCAACACTCATATAGTAGGTAAGTTAGAATTAAAACTTACTATTTACTTGCTTTAAGTATTTTTTTAAAAAAATTTTATGTAGTATCTAAGTATTTTCTAAATATGAAATTATATTTTTAAATATATATTTATTTTAAAAATTGTGAATTAGTTCTTTTTGTTTCTTTTTGTTTTTTATTTCTTATTGGTTTATATGGATTATGTATAGTTCTTTTATAGTTTCTTTTTATTGATATGCATATTCGTGTAGGGGAAGTTTCTGTAGACAAGGATTTCTAAAATACATTGGTTTCTAGATTTTTTTATTATTTTATAAAAAATTAATTTTTAAAAAATTTAATTTTTTTAAGAAAAAGTTTAATTTTTGACTTTACTTGCTTGTTTCTCAAAAGACTTAATTAGTATTTTCCTTTTTGAACTTTAATTCTTAAATGTTAATACTTAAACGTTAATTTCTAAGGGTACCACTTTATTGGAATTACTTTTGGTTTTGTCTTTTACCCTTGCTTGCATGAATGACGAAACACGAATTGAATGATTGGAGAGTTAGGTTTGGAGGCAACTTCCCCTTGATAAGTCTGTCTCCTGCCTACTCTACGATCATTCACATATGCATTTTTTAAAAAAATTGTTTAATTTAATTTTAATTTATTAAATTACTAGATTTATTTTCATGGATGGATTTTACACTTGATTTGCTTATGCCTCTGAATTTAAACGATATTGTAGATTAGTTTGAGAATTAAATCTTTTACATGTTTGCATATTTTAAAATTATTTTGGCTTTTTTTTCCTTTTTTTTTAGAATTTAAATTTGTTTAAATTTAAATTTCATTCCTTGTAGCAATGGCGCAAAGAATATTTAATTAAATATGTATTTAAATTTAGTTTTTTTAATTAAACTCAATTTTTTCTTTTGAAGCTATATATATATATATTAATTATTATGTTATAATGTGATTTTTTTTTTCAAGTGTATGTACATATATTTTTGTACATATATTACTTTTCTCTTGAAACAAGGGAAGGGAATACAAAGTTTAGTAAAATACTTGCAATTTGTTAGGCAAGCATTATTTATCACCAAAAGAATGGCATATTACACTGATGTTCAGAATTAAAGGATATTGGGAGAAGTAATGCTAACTGTACAGAAATTATTTTAAATTGAGTGTAATTATACGCTACTGGGCAGAGAAACCTAGTGCTGCATGGGTGTTAGTGTACAGAATATGCAAATAAGATGAATGGGTCCAAATTATAAAAGAAAACATGTATGAGATTGTCATATATAATATAAAATTGTAATTTTGAAAGTAGTCATTTGTTATTTATCATTTTTAAAAACTTCATCTAGATGAAGGCCGGATTTGATGAATGGTTGGTAAACTCCAGATAGGTAAAATACAGTTAGATATATTCCGAGAACTGAGTCTTCCAAAGCTTGATCTCAATCTGAAAATGCTTTTTAAGCACATGAAAATTAGTGATTTTGCTGGTTGAAGTTATGTGAGAATAACTGCATTATCTGGAAGTCATTATTTGTCATTTTCAGTAAAATTGAACCATTATGCAACAATTAGACATTTGGCTTGGAAACTTTCAGCAGTCATTGTTATTCAAATAACCTCTAAGCGGCCTTTATACCTCTGCACATTTACAGAATCTTTGTTTTAGGTATAGAAATTGATCTAGCCATTTCACATGATTCATCCCCAAATAAATAAATTGCCAGATTGGAAACTATGTCATTCATAAATATGTGGTGGCAGATTGCATGTTCCCTGCTCTCTTCAGAAGAAACTCTATGCAAAATTGTTATTTAGTCTCAACCTGAGCTCATTTGTTGACAATACATTAGGCCTAATCATCTTGACTATAATTAAGACACAATAACATGCTGAACAAATACTAATTCAGAAGTCAAACAATAAAAATCAGCATTATATTTTCAAATTTTCACAGGACTAGTTTCGATGGCGCCATTTGCGCTTTTGCAGCTGATGATGGTGGTTCGTTAAAACCATCGAAACTAGTCCTGTGGAAATTTGAAAATATAACCGTGATTTTTGTTGTTTGACTTCTGAATTAGCATCTTGACTATATTGGTAATGAAGATGACACCATTTTATCCTTTCAAAGATGCAGAAAGCAGGGTCCAATGCTGCAGTTTTTCATATAAAGACCCATGCACTTAAAACTTCCAGTGAGTTTTACTTAATCTCTTAACTGCTTTGTTATTAAATTACCTGCTTATTTCATAGATAATTAAAAGATAATTAAAATTTTAATATTTTGCTGAAGTAGGATTTCCAGAGTGCAGTGAATGTGAACTTCTTTTTGTAAACTTGTATAATTTTTTGTATTTTCTCATATAATTTATGTTTACATGTATACAGCAGATTACCATTTGTATGCTGTTGTTAGAAAAAGAGTATAAGAGTGAATAAGTAAGTTACTTTTTAAAGTAAGTTGAACCAAGGAAAATTCATTTTTCAAATTGAGGAAATATTAATATTTTTATGTAAAAAAAGGCTAAAGATACAAAGAAATAAAAGCAATACTTAACCTTGGTAAAATATTCTATTTTAATCACTTATATTCAATATTTTAACATTTTCTAGACTATATTATGAATTAATTTTTATTTAAAATCATAAAAATTCTTGCTAATATACACTGCCCTCCAAAAGTTAAGGAACAGCATGTTTTTTGTATCTAATTTGAGAATGAAGCAACATAGAAACAAATTTATAGGACATGTTCACTAAACAGTTCTTTAATGAACGTGACATAGAATGTTCCTAAAATTCAACACAAAGATGAATTGGGGGTGGGGAGGAATACGCTTTTGGGAGAGAAATCCAGTCTTGGAGAAGCAGTATACCGCAGTGTTTTGAGGAAAATTGGGGTGGTAACATTACAAAAAAATGGGTTCTAATAAGGAATGTGTCTGCTCCTAGCTGTAATACATTGGGGGCAGTGACATTCCATGCTGTCAATTCAGTTGTCAGTCAGTGAAATGGGAAGCAACGACCAGACACAGAGTAATCTTTGTTCAAGCTCATCTAATGCCCTAGGAAAAGAACTTAAAACAGCAACCTGTCTCCCAAGGTAATCCCAAAGCTGCTGTATTGGATTTAGGTCTGGGGATATAGCTGGCCATTCCATCTGCTCCATACTGTGACCTTCAAGATATTCTTCAGCAACCCGAGCTTGGCGCGGTTGCACATTGTCGTCCATCAGAAGAAATCCAGGACCAATAGCAGCAGCATATGGGCAGACACATTGATCAAGGATCTCGTCTCAATATCTCACATCGCTCAAAGTTCCTCCATGGAACACATGCAGGCCAACGTGACCACTGAGAGAGATCCCAGTCCAAATCGTTATTCCACACACTTTTGTAACTGTGTCTTTCCACAATGTGGGATTGGTTGTATCTAATGTGTTGTTCCCTTCAGATCAGTTGATGACCTAAATCACTTTTCAGTGTGAACCTGGACTCGTCTGTGAAGGGAACAGACGCCCATTGTTAACTGGTCCAGGAGACGTGTTCTCTTGCCCAACACAAACGGGCACCTCGAAATCAAACTCTTTGAACTCTCTTAAGGACAGAAATTTCACTGAATGAAATCGTCATTATACTTTAAGAAGTTAAATGCCTAAAAGTTTCTATCTTCATGTGCAAAATTAATAGCTGATGGTAATTAATAGTTTCTTGGAACTTATGAATGAATACTATTTTATCCAGTATGGAGCCATTCATTGCAAAAATAAGTATATTTCATTTTGTAGTTTCTCCTGAATTAGGTTAAAATCATTTAATGATAGGTGTTGAAGAGTAATCTTAATGGTAAATTTCTTCTCTAAATCTCTTTGACTCTTTCACTTAAAGTATGGAACTTTTTACATTAAACTTGTGTGAGAATACTGCACTTTACTAATTGAAATTTTTCTGTATAAGGATCGTATAAAAAGATAGATATCAGAAAAATATCTTTTCTTCGGTACTGAGGTTTTGATTATATTCTCCATCTTGTTTTTTCAGAAGTTTGTAATAAGAATTATGTAACTAAGATCAACATTGATAGAAATGATTCCTCCAGCCATCTTTTTCAAACACCTAACATATTTATATGTGAAATATTTTTATTTAAATGGGGTTGATGACTTAAGATTTTGAGAAAGGGTTTTATACTTGGACCACTTTATTCTAAACGTTCTCAACTTTAATATATTGCTTAAAATTCCTTCAGGCTTTCCATGAAAGCATCCTTTCCCATAGGCAGATAATGATAATATGAATGGCTTAATTAAGTAGTTCTTTTATTGTTGTTTCCTACAAAGCTTTGTATATGGATGCTGTATTTTTCAGAATTGATATCCAATTGTATTATAGTTTGAAAGGAAATTCTCTGTTCCAAGCATGATCTTGTTTGTGATGAAGCAAATAGGTTGTTGCCCCATCAGTGGCCGAGTGATTAAGACCACTGAATACTGGGAGTTTGACCTAAGTGGTCTGCATGGCGGGCTGGCTGCATGGTTGGTTCTATCCACATGTAATACGAATATGAGTAAGTTTGCTGTAGAAAGTTAAAGTTGCCAGGAAAGCATTCTTCACCTTAGTCAGATAACTTGCCATGTTTGAATAACCTAATTCAAACATGGCAAGTTATCTGACTAAGGTGAAGAATGCTTTAAATAGACCACCTGTGAAAGCGCCTATTTTACTAATGCTTAAATGGTTTAGCATGCCCATTTAGTTTTTAACTTCATTTTTACTGCTTATGCCTTCAACCCTAGTATGCTTTGCCATAAT